AATCAAGTTTGGTTGTGGTCAGAGTTTTATTTATTGTTTTATTTTTCTTTTAAGTCAAGAAAGGTACAACAAAATATCCAGGGAAGTTAGGAAAAAGAATGCTCTTCTCTGTAGAATAAATATACTTCTCAGAGCTACACCGTGGACCAATACTAAAAGTTCCCAATTGCTGAAATCAAGCCAGATGCCAAAAGTACTACAGAAAGAGGGAGGGAACATTGGACTTGCCAAGCTTTAAAGATACAACGGCCAACACAGAAAAATAAAGCCTATCCATCAATAGTAGCCAGAATATAACTCTAAATCCCATATGTTAAACATTTTGCTACTGCATTGCTAAGGTTTCTGTCACTTTTTTTTTTTTTTATTTTCCCCAGAAATACCTATTATCTGGCATACAGAATAGCATTATTTGCCATATGTGTTCATGGGATATTGTGTCTTATACATTGTGCTTAGAGTGTTTCACCCTCCTGTCCTTGTGCAATTTTCATGTCAATGTTAATTGCTATGCTTGTAAATGCTTACTGCAGCAGAACTATTTTTCAGATGCACGCCATGATTTTGATTTAAAATTTTTTAAAGAGGTAGATTTAGTTTTTGTGTGTCTACATGTAAGTATTTATGTAATTACATATGTAACCAGTAAATATAGCTAAGTTTTATTGCTTTTTTTTTTTTTTTTTTTTTTAATATAGCTATAGATGGCAAAGTGAGTACTAATGCAAAGAGAACATCATGTTCTTAAAACCAACTGCAAAATAGGAGGGAACAACCCTATATAAGAAAGTGGTGAAGAACCACTGACCAACACCTTCTGTAACAGAGTCCCCGTGTAGAGTCCCCACCTAAGCTGAGGGCCTAAAGAATAGCTCTTCACTGATGCATTTCTTTGAAAAATCCCTAAGTCTAATTGCAATATATACTGTGAGTTTCCTTTGTTAGGAATTTCCTAGTTTTTCTGGGGAGCAAACAATGGTGCTTTTGAAATCTTCAGTATGTCTCTTAGCAACGTGCCAAAATGAAGCTCTGCTGTGATTACTTATAATTCAAACATCATCTGCCAATGGTTTTGGCCAAATTCCTCCATAAAGAATAGGAGCAACCAGACCGTGCAGCATGCAGTTTACCACTGTCCTGTCCCCTATTTGTCTCCTATTTTCTGCTGCATTTTGCACCTGAGAGTGGCCTTTTAAGAATAACCTCCAGTCCCATACCACTGCAATATGAATTTCTTTCATCCTTTGGGTTCCTGAACCAAGTGTAACACAGGAGTTGGACCTGGGGGCACAGCCAACAGCAGCATCAGAAGTAAGAGCCAGTGTTTCTTACTAACCTGATTCTTCCTTCCCCCTGTCATAGTGACCTGTAGAGCACCCTTGAAAGCTTTGGAAATGAAGACTTTCCTGAATAACACATGCCTGTGGGTTATTTACCTAACAATTTTTTATTACCGCTGTAAATGCAAGCTAGTCATTTGAATTTGTGCCTTTCAAAATGAACAAAACAGAATTATTAGGGTTCTTAATGTGAAGTGTGGCAATTTGTTATTTCCTTAAAAAAAAAAAAACAAAAAAAAAGAGAGAGATTCAATCTAGCTATCAGTTTTCTAATGGGCTGCAGTGGGAAGTATTTCAAGGTATCAGGGGAATTAATATGCCTCTGGATAAATATTTATGGCCATGTTCTTATATTAGTTATAGAGCTGAAAAGATACCACCCATATTATAAGTGTTCCTGAAAAACAAGAAAGATGCACTGTGCTTGGAGTCTTATAAATGAGCACTTATTTGTCTTCAGCAGTTGTCCCTGTTTTGTGTTCCATTGCAAGCAAGGAACTTAATTTGAAGATAATTCAATACAGCACTGTATCTTGGAGCTCTAGCGACAGGCGTGAAATTGTTTTATCTTTTTTGTTCTTGGTGCACAGTGCTGATTGGGTGAGTGTGTGGACCATCTGCTACTGAGGTAACTCTTGGGATACTTGTCAAATTGATTGCACTCAGAAACAACTGAGACAGAGGAAAAATAGAGTTTCTAATTACATTTTACCCAGGATCTTGTTTAACTCTAGGAAGTGGTAATTCAAAAATAAATGGCTTTGGTGGGCATCTTAGAATCTTTAATTAACAAATTACTCTATTAACACGCACATTGTTTTCCAGGTGAGTGAGATCATTTGCCCCTGGGGCTTTTTTTCCATATGCCTTCTATTCCTCCAGCTAAATATGTAGCAAATTGAAGTATTCATTTTGATTATATAAAGCACATGGGTATACAATTATATGAAAAGAAAGATGACATTTGTTTCCTGTTTTCCCTAGGGCCTTTACAGTGTTGCCCTTCCCTGAAAAAAGGCCTCAGTTTATTAGAGTATATATTTTTTGTTGTTGTTGAAATTTTCCTTTTTTTTTTTTCTGTATAAATTATATTTTGAAACAAGAGCCTTTACTGGAGACAATGGGATACTGATTATTTACAAATTGCCACTAAATACCAAGATTTTCTCCCCAAATTTTTGTATACTTGCATGTGTCTGTTATATGAACAGTTTGGAGATTTTAGGAATGAATTTATTTAACATTGTCAAGTGTAAACAATATATGTTCTAAACTTAATAAGCATATATCAAATATTTATGTAAATATAGTTGGCATAAAGTTTAGTTTTATTAGATGTGTATTAATTATTTGTGCCTTATTGAATAACTAATCTGCGTTTGATTTCTTTCTTTATATATTATTTTACCAGGATGCTTCCTGTACAAACTGTGAACCCAGTCTGTAGTGTATATTTTAGTGGATGAGCTTCTGTTTTATTGCAGTTTTGATGTTTATTGGAGCAGTAAATGAAATAATAGGAAAGAAAGTTAAGTAAGTAAAATGACAACATTTTCTGTGAACTATATAAAATTATCAGTGATTTCTTGAAGCATATTTAAATGGTGAAACATGCAGAGGAATTTATAAAAAAAAAAAAAAAAGTTCAGAAGATGAATCTGAAATAAGGTTAGGAGTACGTAAAATAGTTTTGAGGTAGTTTCTGTCTTGGTTGCTTTTGCTCTGTCTTTTATGAGGTTTTCAACCTAAGCCCTATTGTGTTGATGCTCATCTTCATATCATCAGTCCGGGGGAATTATTTCCTTTTTACGAGACAAGAGCTTATGATTTTATCTACCCCTGACCTCTCTCCCACCACTAGTTTCAGATGTACATTCCAGTATTTCCTCCTAGTCATCTTGCAGAAATTCAGCCCAGGGAGGTTCACTGCTGGTTCCCCACCTCTGGCATCCATTGATGAGGAAGTTGTGTTTTATCTGGATTCGTTATAACAGATGGTTCCTACTGTAGCTTATTTATTGTTGGTAAATAAAAATGACTGCATAAGTCACTGTTTAGGTGAAAACATTGAAACTTTTGTGTTATTTCAGATGTAGGATTTTTAAGTCTCTGGCCTATTAATACACAGTGGAAAGCATACAATTTATCTTTCCAATCTCAGGTAGGAATGTGTCATCACTGGAGAAGACTAAGGTAGAAGACACTGCCACTAAGCAAACATCATGAAGCCAAACATGAGATTCTGCAAAGTCATGACTGGAATTATTTTTCAGAATCTAAACTTTCCATGATATTCCAGGTAAAAGCATATACAGTGTTTTTCCACTACTCTAAGAGGAGAATGTGCATTTGTATGCATATGCATGTTCAGGATCTTCTGTGTTTATGTATTTCTGTATAAAATCTGCTTCCAACATCAACAGCCAGAGCATGTGTTACGCATCTTACAGTGAGGTACTTTGTATGACAACACCTGCCTCCCTGTTATTTTGCTCTCCGATGGTCATGATGAGTTCTATCTTCCGTATTATTAAATGATAACATGAGCATATGCTGGCATGTCACTGTAGCAAACAATGACTTGTAGCTCCCTTGAAAATTCGCATGCTTTTTATTGCTGCTTGAGAAAATAGCACACATCACCACTGCAGTTCTGGTCATTTTACTGATTGCTAAAGGATTTCCTCTCTATTACCTCTGCATTTTCTGTGTTGCCAGGTGTGAAATGAACAGAATCATAAAGGCAGGCTGGTTTGGAGAATAAAAACAGCAGAACAGCCTGTGCTGATGAAATAAGCAGCATACTGAAAGTGGAAAAATGTTAGGAGCTATTGGCAATTCAACATGTGTGATATGTAGTGTAAAAGATATATTTACAAGTTAGTGTAATTAAAAGCAGTTACAATTTATGTTCAGTGACATGTATGCTTGTAATATGCATGACTCAGGAAAATATTTCATCTTGTCCTTAAATTTAAGTATGTGCCTTCCTTAAAAGCAGCAGGACAGAGATGCTGGCTTAAAAACAAACAGTATTGATATAAATATCAATAATTTCCTAAACGTGGCTGAGCTGTCAGGAACTGCTATATTTGCTAGTTGCAATAGGTGTTTCAGCAGCTAAAAGATCAAATCCTTGATTCAATTCCTAGTAACACCAGTAAGATCTCTTTGAGTATTTCCATTGAGTTGACTCAGATGAGATGTGGTCCTGGGAATGGGTTTTCAAACTGAATTCCAGATTGAATAAATTTTGAGTTCTCTTAATGAGAATAGAGTACAGAGAATATGGTCAGGTAGACCATGTTGGGATTGTGATCCAAAGGAGTAATGTGAGACAAGCTGGAGAATAGTGCAGCTTCGGTCTCAGAGGGGAGAGCTTGTTGGGACAGCTGTGCACCTGGGCTAATTTCCCCAGGGCACAATCAAAGCTGTTTCAGACACAGGTTGGCTGTATCTGAGGTTGAAAGGTTAAAAACAGCTTCTCAAACATAGCCAAAAGCCAGGAGAGGGAGAGGAACAGGAGGAGCCAATTGTGCCTTAACAAGACCCTGAGCAGCTTCACCTGAACCTGGGTGGAGCCGTTTCACCACCCTGCCTTGGTGGGGTCTCCATGTATATAAACTCTGCCTAGGGAAGCCCCTGCTCTTTCCTGGGAGCAACGTGATGGGTTCCTGTGCGTTGAGGTTTGAGCTCTGTAAACGGCCTAGGTGAGAAAAGTGGTGAGTAATGTGCTCTGCAGCCTCTCTGTGTTCTTGCCACCTGATCTGTGAATAAGATAGCCCCTCTTTCAGACAAGATGCAAACGTTTAAAATACATTATGGGCATCTAGAATAAAATAGAAGGTTGTAAGGCTTGTTGTTTTTTAAATACAAAGTGTTAACAAAATAGTATGTTTTCTCTGTGCTGGAAAAAAAAAAAAAAACGTGGAAAACTGCTTGCGAAAGACTTATCTGAAGTCTAAGTTAGATTGAAAAGTTTAAGGTGGAAAAAATGCAATGCAGAAGACTCAGAGCTCTCTGAAAGATCTAGGTATGTAACCACTGCTAGGATACTGCAGGCAGCATCTCGGCCTGTGTTTGTTCAAGGCCGGAGCAGACAGGTATAGGGCTAGGTAAGCACTTGCTATGACCCAGAACAGTCATTCTCCTGTTTTGGGTTATGGAATAGAATCAAACAGACAAGAAGGGAGAGGGAGGAAGAACTGGGAAAAACTAGTGATTACTGCAATCAATGTATCTGAAAAAGATTAGCTTGTCTAGAGTGAATTAATTCTGTTCTTGTGTATTGTTCCCTATGCAAATGTGAGTAGAATTTTCTGGACTCTCTATCTCTTAAGTGCCAAGCTAGAGGCAGTATCTTTTTCTATTGAGCCTTTCTGCCCTCTCAGGAGGGTAAAAATAAGATGATCAGCTGCACCTGGGACATCTTTCTGAGCCTTGTCTAGACAGGGCTGTTAGCTCTTTATGGGAATGCTTGTTTCTCATTGTGTGCATACAGCTCCTAATGTAACAGAAACCTGCACTTGATACACAAACAATACAATGAGCTAACATTTAATTATAATCTATTATGATTTATAGCCTCTGAGAAAAAGAATGAATGCCAGAAGCTAATCAGCAAGTCAGACAAGGAAGAAGTCGCAGGGAAAATATATATCAATAAACACCCATTGTGTTTTGAAGAGAGTCCCTAAACACTTGTCCTCTCCTGCCTTATGAGGAAAGGAAAGCGATGATTTTCTGCTCACGAGGTCTGGAATAGCCAATTATTTTAACATGTCCCATTAAAAGGATGAGTGGAGCATTAATAGCTATGCAGACTAATGAAAGACAGGCTAAGGAATTTCCATTGAGGTTTTGCTTTGTTTTGTTTTAATGCACTTTTGCATTTGAATTGGTTTTACCTTATACATGTAAGAACATCCTTAATTCTTCAGCTGTAAGCATAACAGAGAACACACAAGGGTAACAGGCTTGCAGGTGCTTTGTTGTCCTTCAGGCAGATGCAGAACTGCTGTGGACCCTTTCTCTTTCACTGTTGTTTGTTTGTTTTTTTTTTCCTAATGTCATCATCAACTGAGAATTGCCCTTAACAGGCTCTTTTGAGTCTGTGGTCTAGCTTAACAGCGAGTTTGATAGCCTGTGTTGTTCTGTTGGCTTTGTGTTTCACAGAATCACAGAATTTCTGGGTTGGAAGAGACCTCTAGGTCATCGAGTCCAACCTCTGACCTAACAGAGTTTGAGTATAGACAGTCTCTTGCTGAGCATAAATATGGTTTCCTGTCTTTGCTTCCATCTCGTCATGTATTCTGCTCCTGGCAGTGAACACCAGCAGGTGCAATCAAGTATAAAGCAGCGTTTGGCACTTGTGTGCCAGTGGCCTTACAGAGGAGGGACTTGGTACAGAAGAGCTTTAGCTCACAAACTGCATATCCAAACTCATTTTTTTTGGCACCAGGTGAAGCTGGCATGGTCATGGGCACTGTGCGACTGCAACAGATGGGGCTGAATGAAGGAGTGGGGTGTGTGTGTGTGTCTTGTCCAGCCACCAAGGGTGTGTGTCTGAGGGTAGGGTTTCCAGCCAGTGCTGGAGTGGCTCTGTCCTGAGCTCCCAGGGCTAATTTGAAAGGTTCCCTGATAGATTTTGGGGTGTTGGTCATAGTTTCAGTGGGCATGGTTTTACGTAGTCAGGTTGTTACCAACAAAACGATTTCAGCCTGGATAGTATGGTTATGCAGGAGGGTCTGGTCTTAGAAATGCAAAATGCAGATTAACAGAAGCATAATCTTCATATTTGCAAGATACCATAGCTAAGACGAGTCTTAAAATTGTTTTGAAGCCTACTCTCATAAGTAAACATTCCCTAAAAATCATGAAGAGATGTGTTTTTGTTTGTTTGTTTTTTCAAAATGTTTTTCCACTGTTGTAAACAGGTGGAAGCCACTCAATAGCAGAACAACAAAAGACCTGTCTCAAACAGGTGTTAAAAACCACTAGCTAAATGCAAAAGGGTGTGTAGCTCTAGCCACTGTAAAATGCTTGCAGACGTGCATATGCCCAAACTTAATGTGTGGCCCTGTTGGAAAAGTCAAAGTTCAAAATCAGAAAACTTGCAATCGACAGTTAGCTATTTTTATACAGAACGTAACAATTATGCAGTTTTTTTAAAGGAGAACACAAAAGCAAAGTGTTTTGTGAAGCCAGTTACCGAGTCTGTGCCCCAGCAGGACTCCAGAATGTTGGCCCCTTTCATCACTAGATAAAAGCCCTGAGCTCCTGTGATGAGTCGTATGTTGCCTATTTAAAAGTGGCGACTCCTCTTTAAAAAGCCATTATGCCACAACTCCAGCATCTGCCCTGTTGTGGGTATGGAAGCTATGAGACATATATTCTACTGTAAGACCAGAATAAAAAATAGCACTGAGTTTCTTGGGTGCATACTGCTTCACAAAAAAAGTTGAGACAGGAATGATGGAAAAATATCCAACCAAAAGCATGTTAAAATGAACAAGGTACAGGCTAACGCATGGTATTCCTTGGTCTGTCTGCCGTTGTGGCACAGGGTGGTGTATTTTTCTCACCTGAACAGCAATTTAATGGCATTGCTAGCACCGTGGTGACATTATTTGCTCTTCTAGTGTTCTGCAACTTCAGAAGGTGTAGTTTTTCATCCCCTCATTCAAGTACTCTAAGTAGGATTTTTTTGTTTGTTTTACTCATGCAATGTTTTCCTGAAATCTGGAAACAGGCATACACAAGGCCTGATAGATAACGTTTCTTGATCTGTTCAGATTTTCTTTAATCAAATTTCAAATGTAAATGTGCATTTGGGATAATGACAAGAGCTTAAATGTGATTTTTTCCTCTCTTTTATATATGTGTGTGTGTATATATAAAGGGAAAGCTGAGACTGTCTAGGATAAAAAATAGTGACAGCTGTTTGTTTTTTTTTTTTTTAAAAAAAAAAAAAAAAAAAACAAAGTACTACTTAATAATATTTCAATTGTATTGCAAAGATTTTTTTTTTTTTTTGTAACTGGAGACCATCAAGGCATCGTAAAAGTCTTGCAGTTTGAATGGATAATTAATGCCCATTCAGAGAAATACCTTGATAATATGCTCAACTTTCAGAGTGAGAAGTAGCATGTTATTTTAGGAAGTTTTTTTTTTTTTTTTTGTCCTTTATACTGGTGCTGCATATTAAGTTTTTTTTTTCCTCTGCTATTCCATTACCCGATTGAAATGCCACCAGTATTAATAGGATAGCAGAGTAAATGTCACAAGATGAAGGGACCACAGGAATGTGTATTTGCCACATGTAGAAGCAGTACTTTATTACAGTGCAGTGTGGAATTTATGAGCATTGCTATAATATTCTAGATATGCCTTTCTGATGATATCTGACATACAGCACTGCTAAAAGGCTACTGCAAAATCCGCTAGCTTTTGCTCTCTGCACCTTTCCTAGATGCTATGGAGCTATCCAGTGCCAGTAATGTACTATCAACTAGAGCAGGTAAAACTAGCCCCTGAATATTATTTATTGGCTTGTGAATGCAGATTACATACACACTTTATTACCTGCTAATTTACCACCTGCTGGCTGAAGGATGGGGGGAACTCTACTATTTGTTTTGTAGGAATTCATTATGCCATTAACCTTTCACTCCTATGGGCCAGGAGGAAGTATTTCTTCAGTTAAATCACTACTAATATTGCTCTACAAATGAAAACAATGATTTATCACACCTCACAATGTCTAATAAACATAAATTATATTTTAATGCTCTGTACATTGCAGATGATTGTATGTACAACTACTTATTCTTTTCAAAGACTGCTTTAGTCCCTTCTAAAATACGTTAAGTAAGAGTCACTCCCATCTCGATATTTGAGGTAACATTTTCATATTTTGCATTGGAAAACCAGGGGCATTGTTGAGAATCTTTTGTTTTACGTATTCTAATTATGTTTTGAAGGAGTGAGAACAAAAAAAATGAGAAGAAAAAATGCTGTCATCTTACTCTCACAGCTGAAATGGCAGTTAAATATTGTAAGAAGTCCTTAAAGGAATGCTGGTGTAACCTCAAAAGCAGTCTGCAGTTGTTTTTGGTTTTTTTTTTTTTTTTTTGGAAGCCAACCTGTTTTGTACAGGTATTCTGGAGGCCGGGCTGAACTGCTGGTGGCTTTGATGTAGGACAGGCTGGGTCTGTGCCACCTGCTGTGCCTGCTCTGTAGAACGACGTGATGCCCTTCATGGGTTATCACTGATGCAAACAGTTGAACTCATGTTGATGTTCCAGCCAAGCCTGGTATTTTAGTAACTGCTACGTTTTTGAACAGAGAGAGCCATGCTTGATTTAGGTTTATTAAGGCACTTCATCACTGGGTTTCCTAGCTTGTGTAACTCATCACTGCTGTTTGACATACATGTTAAAAAAGGAAATGCTTTTTTTGGGGGAAATAAAGGCCTTGTTTGGCGTCTGTCACAAACAGAGGAGCTGTATGAATTTACACCAAGTCTGATCTCATAACACTATAAATTGCTTGAGTCTACTTTTTCTTCTCATCTTTGTGTCATCTTAGCTTCACTCTCTATTTTTAAAGCCTTGTTTTCTCCTAATTTGGAGCAGGTTGACTCTGAAAAGCTATTTTTTTCTTTTCCTGTAAGAACAAAATGTTCTGCGAACTTTCCAGTGTTTCAATAAACATTTTGTGG